TGCTAATGCTGAGCTAGCGGTATAGCATTCTCACGAGCAAGTGCGGTTCAGAAAATACGTGACGTTGTGAATGGCTAAAAGCAGAAGATAAATCCCCGTCATCCCATTTATTTGTGGATGTCTGCAGCGGTGTGGGGCAGAGTTGCTGCAGCTAACGTCTGGTTGTCGCTACGAGTCTGCTCCATCCACCGCAGAACTATGGCAAGCCGTTGTAGCATATAATTTACTTACACTTTTATATTTCAATACAATTTAGATTAGATGATGTTGCCAACCCGTACATAATAAAATAAATATACCACAAGTACATTGTTACAAGTACAAATTAAGTTAGCATTTCTAGTAGCTTACTACTGAACACGTTAAGGAAATGATTAAATTCTACTCATTATATTTGAATATTTTTAGATGTTATTTTGACTAGGATGAGGTTAATACAAACCTAAAATGTGAATGAAATGAGAGTCAAATGTTGTTCCATAAAATATTTATTAACTATAAATACCAGCTGGGACTGAGGGAACTAGACAACACTAGAATACTCGATTAATAAATGGAAAATTCGATAGAATACTCGAATACTAAAATATTCGATAGCTGCAGCCCTAGTTTCAGACTTTAAATATCACACTAGCTCTCCCAACACCTCCTGATGATCAACACCTCCTATGAGGAGCAGCAGTTTTGCCATAAAAAGTCAACCTGCTGACAGCTGGTGTGTAGCTTCCGTTTAGACGGCAGCAAATAAAAACGGAAGGAGCCGGGAAAATCCTGCTTCCTCCTCTCAGTATGCGGAAAGAGCAGACCCTCAACTCCCTTCATCCTCACTCTGATCTGGTAAGGAAAGACTCCCGCCTGTCAGACGGGAAATCTTGGAATCAAACTGACGAATCAAATGCCTCCGATTTTGTGTTGAGATAATACTCACACTATAGAAGACAAAATGCTGCTATTTCAGGTGTAGCCAATTTGTACACAAGTCAAGAACAGAAAGCTCAATGAAACAAATCTGCCTATTCCCTAGAGTATCCAGTGCCCTGCACCTGCTTCACATATTCAAACTTCACGCATCACTGATTTACATGCTGCTGAAACACAAACGACACCCCTGGGCAGCCAGAGGAGACGGCAGAAAACGCAGTGCCCTTGTTTTTATTCATCTTCTTTTTATTATTAGGGAAAATGTTTGTGTTTAATGACCATCATCATCTTTTAAACGCCATCAAATAAACAGCGATGGATGTGAAATTCATTGAAGCCTATAGGTGTGAAATAAAGTGTGCAGCCTTCTTGCTGAATTATTTTCTTTACCCCTCTGCAAGCCCGTACATGAAGACCTAGCTGCTCAAAAAATGTCAACAGGGTGTGACACCACATTCCAGTATGTTCCAGGCAGCATGGCTTCGCTGGAAAATGCTGCATAAAACACGTCTGTGTGCACACTCATGCATAGGGAAATAAGAGCTGGAGCAAAACAGTGTGGCTATCAGCCAAGGTCTAAAGGATTAGATCCAGATGAAACTGGAGTTTGCTCTCCAATGGAAACAGAAAGGCTTACCGATTTCTACATCCGTACATTTATAAACTCAGCAGATTTTAGTTTAGTCTGTTTTACATAGCGATGGGTACCGAATTCGGTACTTTTTAACGTAGCGACCGAATTCCATAGTACCGACTGAGCACCGATTCACGTCATTTGAAACGGTGCCTCGTTTCGGTACCCGTCCTTCATAACGAGAACTTGTCTAGACAGCTGCGCATGCGCAAGAGCGTTATGTCGTCGGTCGCTGCGAGCGAGTTGTAAACAGAGCAGCATGGTAGAAAGAACGCACGCTAAAGCTTGGGTCCACTTCACTAAATGTGATGGGTAACTGGGTGATGATGAAACCAGCGACAACAATCTAAGTGAGACATCCTCATCTTAATTTGCTCCGGTAGGTAAATAAAATGTTTAAGATAACGTTAGCTTGATATGTTAGTTTCCGTTCCGCTAATGGTGTGTTCACTTTCTCCTCGGAACTCTGAATTTCCGATTAGAAGAACATGAACGCGCTCTAAAGTTTGGCTTCACTTTACTAAATGCGACGGGTGATTGGGTGAAGATGAAACCAGCGAGAACGATCTAAGTGTGAGGCATCATCGTTTTAATCTGCTCCAGCAGCTAAATAAACTGTTTAAGATAGCGTTAGCTTGATATGTTAGCTTCCATTGCCACCTTTGTTATCATCTAATGGTGCGTTCGCTTTCTCCTCGGAAATTCAAACTTCCCAGTAGGAAAAATCAAAAGAAAAAGGACGGCAAAAGGAATGAAGATACACAGTAAATTTAGTTCACAGTAAAGATGTTTGCTTCAGTTTAATTATCAGCTTATAAAACTACAAGGACGATGTTAAAATACAAACAGTTGAATGTTATTTATCATGATATTTATCAAATATGGTTATATATCGAGAAAAATATATATTTAATTATAAAAGAGAATTAAAATATTAAACACTCAAAAGTATCAAAATTTGGTACCGTTAAGTACCGGTATCGATGCCTAGGTACCGGGAATGAGTACCGAATCGATTCAAATGTCAAAGGTACCCATCCCTAGTTTTACAGCCAGTCTTCTATTGATGGTCAGTCTGTTAAAACGGGAGTTTAGCAGCTGGATTTAGGGAGTTCGACATAAACAGGAGCGACCGGTCAGTCACACATCAGGCTCCCAAACCGCCCCCCACCCAACAACAACCATAATTTAACACCACCCACACTCACACCTTTCATCTTTTGTCTCCATCTCAGGTTTTTGTTAGAACCCAAACAGAACCTAATTTAAAATATGTCAGACCTGGTCATGTGACCAAAATGAAACCTAGGCTGTTTCTCAATATGCACACTTGTCTATTCTAGTGCACGCACGTCCTTGTGAAACGTCATCTATGGCCCACGACTGTTCCAACCATGAGCATGCATAATGGCGAGTTTTCTTAAAGTTCCTAGTTATGTTCTTGCTCTGCCCATTGTAACGACAATGCATCTGTGGACTTGGGACTGCAAAGTGTCCCATAATGCATTGCGTTGCAAACCATTAAACTCCCAACTTTAGAGAAAGCTAATAACTGTAATATTTTACATTAGAGATACAAAGTAGGGCCCGACCGATATATCGGCCGATATATTGGGGTCATTAACTCTATCGGCTATCGGCCAAAAAGACGGCCGATATGGCCGATATAGCACTACCTATCCAGCAGATGGCGCCAGCTTTATGAACTCATATTGTGTGGCTCCATTCCTCGGGGGGTTGAGCCACCGTCACAGCACACATGCAGCGGAGCAGCAGAAGCAATTTGGTCAAGCAGAGACGAAGGTGATGAGGAAGTAGGAGGTAAATCTTCAGTTTTAAGCATATTTGTTGTTTCAGTGGTAAGTTGAACGGTAAAATAAGCAATGACAAAAGTATGTTTCCCCTCAACATGCTTCCTAAGTTTATTGTGTGCCTCGTGGCCTCGTATTGAAAAGTTAACCTGAAAAAATAAAATAAAACTGCTGCAGCATTACGCTCTATGCAGAGCTCACGCTGCTTCCCCTTTTTCTGCTGGCCTTTTTCTGGTAGACATTCTGGAATATTCTCAGACAATTTCCTCCGCTCTTCTTCAGCAGTCTTTTCAAACTCACGTGGTTCACCCGCGGCTCGCGAAAAAAATAGTGCAGACGCCAAAATGATCGCTGCACGGCGCGGACTTCGCCGGCCCATGTGGCCTATAGAATAGGATAACAAGGTCGACGAATGAAGGCGGTCCCCGTTTGGCGGCGCTTTGGCGGCACACGACCGTTGTCGCAGCTGAGGACGGGCGAGGGGGGGTTGGCAACAAAGCAATGAAACGCTGTGCAGGGAGTCCCCCCTCCTCCCCCTAGCTGGGAGAGGAGTAGGGGCGGTAATACGAGAAATAAACATTCCTCTCTACAACAGAATAAATCTACTGTATTTTTTCAGCCTTATTTTTTGCATAAGGCTTATACATTGCCACATACTAGTCATTTAACATATCTTATTTTTATTTTTCTAACACTGTCGGCTTTGGAAAGGACCTAAACACAAAAGTGTAAAACTCCACAGACTCAGAAAACAAAAAACTTGAATGTTAGATTTTTTACTGACTGAGTTTGTGTGTTCTGTTGTTTTTGAGATTGCAAAATAAATCTTATTTGCATTACTTGGAAACCCTAGTGGGTTATTGAGAGTTCTTTGGTGTGTAATATAGAAATAAGTTAGCATCAAAAAGGCAGAGAATGAAGGGTTTAATCTTAAGAACATTTGTATTTATTTCTTTTTTGTGAGGGAGATTTATCGGCCATTATATCGGCTATCGGCCTTTGTTAAAGGTTTTATATCTGTATCGGTCCCAAAAAAGCATATCGGTCGGGCCCTAATACAAACAATATAAAGTTGTCTGCTATTGTAAAGAGCCTAGATAATTACTTGGCAACCTCCCTCGTGACAAAATGATAGCTAGATTAAAATACAGCTGCCTCCCTCGTGTGAGCAAAGAGAACCCGATTTCAGATTTGGCAACCTAGTCTTTTGAAAACCAAACCCAATCCGCCCCTCTCACATGACGAAGCGGAACAGAGAAAAGCTGTCGAAGATGAACAGCTTGTGAAGTTCTGGAACTTTTTTAATGTCTGGCTTTCATCATCAAGACCTTGCACAACTACAGGCTAACCAAAGATATTATTACAAACTTTACCGATGTTGAATGCAATCGCAAGAGGCAGCGATTGTTTGTGCCGGTCCCAAGTCTGGATTGTGTCTGAAGGGGAATCCAACATAAAAACTAGCCAAAGCATATATGACAGGGCCGGAGTGGGACACATTTTCAGCCCTGGAGTTTCAGACCCCAGACCGGCCCACTTAATGAATTATTATTAAAATCATGTTAGAACTTTATATGTATAGTCTACAAAAGCACACTACTCGGTAAAGCCTTGTAATTCAGTGCAAGAAAGAGTTGCTTTACAATGTAGGTTTATTTGAACATCAGTGCACATCTCCAACATTGTTCTTTACAACACATTCTCTAACAATATAACAATCTACCTTCTGTTCAAACAGCTGTTCTGAGATTTTCAAACCTTTAAAATGAAATGACTCAGCACTCCCTTTCACACTTTTTCCAGTTTCCCTAGACTCACCTGCACACAATTAAAATAATCATCTGTAAAGCTTTAGCACATTTGATATGGAAAACACATTTTTTGTAACCAATTAAAATATTTTCTATGGCAAAATATGCAGGCTTATTTCATTTTACTTTCATTCTAATAACTATCTGTTGTGGGCTTTGTGCATTTACTAATAAAAATACAACAGGTCACTACTATTATTTGGACATTAAAATTATTATAATGAAACTAATGTTTGCTTGTTTGCACATGAGTTGGCTCACCTTCTATCCCAACAGGAGCAATACCCTCACTGCTGGCTCCTGGCTCTTCTTCTGACACTACATTGTGTGAAAATTGTCACAATTCAGCATTCATTTTCCTTTTTACACGCTTTCTGATCAATGCTGAATCATCTAGCATTTTAGAACACTTTCATATAGAGCCAGGATAGTTTTCATCATATAAATTTTAATAATATTCAGTTCACTGACTCAATAAGTAATCCTACCTGTACATGTCCACTCTGGAATTGTGGGTTTCTGCCTGGTGCTTATTAGGCCTACTGGATCTTGTGGGCTACAAGACAGTTTGGTGGCATCAGTCACATCATACTGTTGACTATATTACATAACGTTATGTCATGACGCCATATAATTCATTATTGATGCTTAATTAACTTGAATGGTGATTTGCAGCCGGTAAAGTTTAACATCTTGACTTGCCTTACCCGTTTTATCTTCATTTGAAGTTAAAGACCGCAAGCTTGTTTGAGAAAAAAAGGTGCTCATTTTTGCACATTTAGCTGCATCTGTTTCCAGCGCTTTCCTCTTTTTAATTCTTGCCTTCTCCGCGCCACCCTTGCTCTTTCTACTTTCCATCTTTCCGTCAACTGCGAGGTCACGTGGTGCGCACAGGCGCATATTGGGCAAAAAGAAAAAAAACGAGCTGCAGCCTGCAGGTAGAGACAGCCGGGAGGAGCGTATGAGATCAGCCCGGCGGCCTCAGTGCCATGACTGAACACCGGCACCAAAAAATAAAAATAAAATGATAAAAAACAAAAACGAGAGCACCGGCCCATGCGGCCCAAACATCGCGCGGCCCACCGGGAATTCTCCAGACCCTCCCGATTAGCCACTCCGGGCCTGATATATGAGCATCACATACAGGGTTTCATACTGGATTGGTTCACGACCAGCACCGGTGCTGTTGACCTATACAGGGTGCCGGAGGAAATTGGTCTAATGACAGTCGACGGATGAGGAGAAAGGCAAGATTGTGAAACTGAAAGTAGAGACTCTGAATGTTGAAACAGTGACGGGTAAAACTGGAGAGCTGGTTGACACAATGCTGAGATGGTGAGTGCTCACTTTAAATATAAATCAAATCATTAAGAAACTTTACAACATTACAGGGAGCCCAAGCCTCCTCACTTCCCGGTGGGCTCATGGATGCCCAGGAAGAACGAAAACATGAATGCTAGTCAACGGGGCTAAAAATTCTATTTACCAACCCGCTTTGCTTTACGCCCTGGATCACACACACGTTCTACTGCAGTTTAAATGAAAAGTAATGATGGGTGTTTCGACCACGCCTGTCACAGACATTGAGATTTATCGGCTTGTAAAAGTTCGTAATTAGCATGACTACATCGGCACGTCGCACATATGACATGACCACATAATCTCCTCCCCCCCTAGCGTAGCTGCTACTTACCACATGACCAGATTCATGGTGGTTATTTCCTCCTGGAGGAAGGAGTTGAAGTTCGCTTTACTTACAGCCCTTTTCCCTGTTTTCTCCGTGTCTGGTTCGAGGATGTCACTTTCATGAAGCGTAGTCCTGGACTTATTTTCACATGAAACCTAAAACAGCATTCCCCCCTGTTTGAAAATAAGCACGTTCTTGGTATCAAAATGTGTCTTTAAGATTCACGGGCATCATGTGTGAAATCCATAGCACAAAACAAGCGGAACTAGAAAATGGCGTTTTTAGCCCCGTTGACTTGCATTCATTTTTTTGTTCTTCCAGGGACCCTTGGTGCGGAAGTAGGTGGGCGTGGCTCAGGCGCCCTATTAGAGCTTCCTCCCACGAGGGAAGAGGCTCTGCTCTCTTTATTCTCCAACTCTGTTCTATAGTGAAGCTCCTGCAGCTCAAACCCATCCTACATTTTCCAAGCTAGAGGTCACAAAGGGAGACGAGCACAAAAGGTCTACGACAACCCACAGGGCTGCTGAAAAGGCCAAGCTTTCAGGCTGAGGCAGGATTCCCATAGAAGTCACTAAATTAAGACTGAAAATGTAGTCAACATTTAGTATTCAGTAAAATGTTCAGGCTGATTCATCTCCTGGTTTCTATTTTGGCTTCAGTTTGTGTTCTTATGGTTTTGAACGGAGTTACATTTTGACCAGATGAGTGTAAAATATTAACTGGACCAGAATTATTTTCGGCTGAACACAACAGTTTTGGAAACTTGAACATCCTGCGAGGAAGTGTGAAATAAAATCTATCTGCATTTATTAAAAACCGTGTGGAGGAGAGGTATTAATCACAATGAATCAGTCATTTCACAGGCAACAGTAAATCAGGCGGTTCTACTTAAGAGGCGTGTGAGGATCTGATGGACTCATTGCACTAGATGCTCAGGTTAGGTATAGATAAAAGGAAGTGTGGATTCTTTTTTGTTTTTGTGCAACTAGGGCTGTAGCGAAGCGTCAATGGCGTCGACGGCTCGATTCTAAAAATTTGTCGACGTCAGATCCGGTAGTCGACGCACCACGCCCACTTGTTGCATCCCCAGGAGTTTGTAAATAGAAGTGGAATCTGCCTGTTTTCCCTCTAGTTCGCCCTCTTCTCCGCCTTCACTAACATCTCCACCAAATACCGAAGACCCGGAACAATGTCCGTCCGCTACTAGATTCCTTTCCTGTTTTGCCCGCCTTCGTCTCCCGGCAACGGACAACAACTTCCGGGGTCAAACGCGCTGCTCCGTCTCTACCGCAGATGTAGAAAATCACCGGGAGCGTTTCTCCCTTCATTAAGGAGCTTCTTTCAGACATTAGGAGAGCTGTTTTGGTGGTAGCAGTCTCTCCTCCATGCTGGTCTGTTTGCTGCTGGGTGTTTTTGTTTATTTAAACTTGGTGACTTGAACTTAACGTTGGTAAAGCTACTGTTAGCATCTTCGCTAACAGCTTCTTGCGTTTGGATAAGCTGTTACGTTTTGGTTTAGAGTTCATCTTTTTTGTGGCGCAGATCTCCCTTTTATTACATTTAGAGTGTTGTGGGTTTTCGGTTTAGTTTAAAATATCACCTTGAGTTTGGTTTCACCGCCCAGTTTAGAGTTTGGACCTTTGGAGATCCTTATTTTGGTCCAGAACCCAGTAATCTTTGCCCAGTGGGACATCCCTACTTATTTGTACTTTTGTTTTAATTCCCCACAGGCAGAAGGAGTTTTATTATTCCCAACCTGCGGATGGAAAGATTTATATTTTTTTTGTAGTTGTAAATAAACCTGATCATCATTTTAACTTTTAAATCCCGTTATTGTCCCTTCCTTTTTGCACACGAGCCAAACTCCCCAGGAAGAGTCGTAACACCACTCGCCTCACGCACATAAGTGACCAAAACAAAGCAGCATGGAGACACTCCGTCTCCAACCACCTCTCAGGCAGCAGCCTGCACTCCCAAGTTCTACACGTCACCAGAACATAACCAACCAACACAATAAAAGCAGTGTTATACAGAATGGAAGGCCTGTAGTGTTTATTCTCTTACAGTACCAATTCATCAATTTTTTGGAAGAATTTATTTAAGATTTTCTTGTTTTTATTAATTGCGCAATAAGAAAATAATCGCTAGATTAATCGTCTAAATAGTCATTAGAATATTTCGATGAAATATTCGTCAGAATAATCGTTTTAAAAATAATCGTTTCCCCCCAGCCCTATGTGCAACCAGGATTGTCAAATTGAAGGATATCACAACCACATGTTATTTTTTTTTTTCTAAATTAACGCAGCTCTACTGCATTTGAAAGCAGCCCTGGATCTCAGGATGACCAGAATAAATGTGTCAGCTATCAATGAAAGAAAGGTTTAGAAGGCGTAGAAACACCAGAGTCATTCTTCCGTTCACTCTGAGTCAGGCACCTGTAGCACCTTCAGTGTTCTTCTGTTTAATACAAACATGAGGTTCTGATGATGATTTCGAGCAAAGACATTCCAACTATCCATGCATTTGTGCAGGGTTGGGGTGAGAGACGGTACCTTCCTCTGAATCCTTTGGGACAGAAACAAGAATGGGAAGAACAAAAGCAGGAGAAGAAATAATCCAGGGTGGAGGCAGTGCGAGAGATGTAACCGCAGCATGAGACTGGGATTATAAACCATGGATTACACATCCATGCACTCAAAAACAAATCCCACACTGATTAGTCTGAGGTCCTGCTTTCATGCACTCTAAATGGAAACACTACTGTGCTGACTTCAGTGAATAGTGTGTACTTCCACACCAACAGGACTAAAGGTTTGATTACAGAGTAAAACAACTGTTTTAAAATGGATTCTATGATTTGGACAGACGCTTCTCTTTAAAACAACCCGTTGTCTCGTCTGTTTGACAGAGAATAAACCTAATAAAACGACTGAAGCGTAACCTGAACAATAACACAAGAAAAGAACTTGCCTGAATATTTCTCTTTCCTGTGGCTCATCAAGCCAATTTATCGGAGTGAGTCACCCTCAAGTGGAGGCGGTTAATCTCAGTGATGTGACACAACCTCAATTATCCTCCTGAGGCACTTTATTCAAACCAAACTTAAAGAATAAAAACTCAACATCACAGCCATGAGTAGATCTGAATATGGACTACTGACATCTAATAGCAAGATAAGAAGCATGCAGCTGGCTCTCAAACAGACCGTCACTTTAAAGTCAGATGAGGCGATGACATGTGACTTTAGTTCAAACCATCTGCTGACAGAACCTTCCTGAAACATCCGACATTGAATTTCCAACAAAAAATCTCAAATACAATGTGAATCATATTTACTCATTTCAGCCGCCATCTTGTTGGGAGTCATTCTTCAAACATTAAATCTAAAAAGCATTTTCATTATGCAACAAACCAATAACTAGTCAACAAAAGTCTTACCCTAAAACCATGGGGAGGAGGGATCAGACCTGACCAGGACACCTTCACAGATACAGGATCCAATCTAAACACCAACATATCACAGACCCTTTGGTTTGTTTCCATCTCCATGGCGATAGACTAATCTCATCAACGCGTATAATCGTTAATGGTGGAAATAATTTTTGGGTTTTAATGTGTCAGATAATAGAGTTATGTACAGAGCCGTGTTACAACAGTTATCCTACTTGGAATAGATGTCGTCTTAAATTGGAACATTATGATATCTGAAAAGTTGGAATAAATGGTAAAATGGTAAATGGCCTGTATTTGATATAGCACCTTCTAGAGTCCTGGAACCCCCCAAGGTGCTTTACAACACAATCAGTCATTCACCCATTCACACACACATTCACACACTGGTGGTGATGAACTACAATGTAGCCACAGCTGCCCTGGGGCACACTGACAGAGGCGAGGCTGCCGAGCACTGGCGCCACCGGTCCCTCCGACCACCACCAGCAGGCAATGTGGGTTAAGTGTCTTGCCCAAGGACACGGCGACAGCGACAGTCTGAGCGGGGCTCGAACCTGCAACCTGGTTCAGGTGCTGAGCAGAACAAAATCATGGCATGGAGTTGCCTTGTTGATGCCCCATCTCTGTTTATAGCTATACTGCATTAGAATGTTGTTAAGAGGCACAAACATTTTTAGCTAGCTTGTTTTCCACATGTAACAAGGCAGCTTCGAAGGCTCGGGAACCCTGTGCAGCTCTTCTGGATTCATCAGCTGATCAGAGTGTGACACTATAGCCCCCTTCAGACAGGCCATGAAAAACGGAAATGTTCAGGACTCTGTCCGTAAGACCTTTGTGTCTGAATACAAACATCCGGATAACGTGTTCCGGAATTTATCCGGACGAAGCCCCTAGTAACCGGTCCGGACTTGTTACGGACAGGGTGGCTGCTTCAGACTGGTGAGGTAAAGTTCCGGACAATGGGGAGGGGGAGGGGACCGGGGGACGCTGTGCGCACTCAGATAGCCCGCTGCTGTAGCATGCGGCGAACCACGGCAGCTCGCCTCCTATGGTACCGCCTAGACGCGCGACGGAGCGCTTCACACCGCTTCAGTGATTCCTTTAACCATTGAGCTTCATCATCCAGGTCTCTTATGCGTCTTCGTGTGCGCAGAATTATGCTTAAGCGCCTCGGGATTTTTATCTTGAGAGGCGCTATAGAAACGATACTTTCTTCTTCTTCTTAACATGAGTCCGATTCACCACCCCCCCCCCCCCCCCCCACCGCCGCCGTCAGACATCTGGAACTTTTCCCTGCTGTGTGAACGCAGCCGAAAGGACAAGTTCCGGTACAAAAGTGGTGTGTCTGAAAACACAGTTCCGGTTAAAAACCGGATTGAATTGTCCGCAAATGTTCCAGAATGTCTGTCTGAAAAGGGCTCAAGAGTCTAGAATTTTGAACCTTTTCACAATTATCTGATGGTCCAAGATTCTGTATGTAGGGTATTCATAAGCTGTACGCCATAATCATCGTTATTTATAACAAACAAAGGCTGAAAAATCTGTATTTGCATGGGATACATTTCACCTTTTAAGCTGAATTAATCAAATAAATGAACTTTTGCACCATATTCTAATTTTCCCAGTTTCACTTATAGCAGCAATAAGTCCATTTGTTTCTTCCTAAAGAACCAAAGGCCTGAGCTCATAACGCTCCGAGTTGACACACGGCTACGCCAGGCTGACTGTTCCTCAGACTCTTCACCGATGTTGCATTTGAATTTGGTGTTTTCTGTTTGTGTTCCAGTGAAAACATGCACGTCCCTATGTCTACAGGAGTCTGAGGGGCAGGGCCAAATGGACCATCGCTGTCCCTCCAGACCGCTGAAGCAGGGAGTTTTGTGGGAAAACTGCTCGTTTTTCAAGCCCATTTGCCTGGAAAAGGTCTAAAATAAATAAATGTGTTCAAGACAATTTAACCCTACCTGTCTCCGCTAAGATTACACGGTAGGGATGTGAACTCTAACACGCAGAGTTCAGAGGCAGCCATTAAGAAGAAAAGCCACATCACCAAATAAACTGGATTGCTGAAAAAAAAAACATCCTGTTGCTTCATGGGTCCTCTTAAAAACTCCATCTGAATAAACCAGAACACACATTTGTCTAAATCTTTGCAGGATTGGCCGATTTGATTTCTCTCCATTCAGAAAATCGTCCAACAGCAGCGAGAACAAACCCAAATAAAGACTGCACCAACACAAGGAGACTGGAGAGTCCACTCAGTCACACGATTTGTTTCAGACGAGCGACTAAAGCTTTCAAGCTTCTAGATGACCTCTAAAATCACCTCCCTCCTCACGTCCGGAATAAAGAGCAGCGTGGTCCTCGCCCGTTCTCTGCAGAGGGGCTGAGGGCTTTATCAGGGCAGAACCTGTAAGCAGCCGTCTCCCCCGTGAAGTGCTCCGTCTCAGCGTGACAGACTGAGAAGCCCTAATTAAAGCAGTCAGTCCCTCGAGTGGCTGGCCTACTTTACTTAATAAGAATTGAGAATAAAGCCCAAAGATAATACTCCAATTTAAACTGTTTCAAAAACAGCGAAAGGCACCTCAGAAGATACTCCATCTCCATCTCTGGGCAGGACGGACAGCTTCTCCGTAAAAGAGGAGTGCAGTCTCCCATCCCAAAAGGCTTGTGGGAATTCTTGTTGTAAAGGTGCAAATAGGACACACCGCTATCTTTGCCTCGTGGTCTGAGGGTCCTTCAGGTGCTTTCTGGAAAACTCCAGCTTCTCTCTGGCTACTCTCAGACAAACGTGTTTTTTCTTACCTGCTGACGGTTTCGACTGTCTTTTCTGTCCATCAGAGTTTTGTTCCTCACATTCTGTCTTGCAACCAAAAGGAACATCATCAAACGTTCCACTGGTATGACCTTAACTGCTTTGCTGTGTCGTGCTGACCCTTAAACATTGCTGAGAGATGACGCCTTGTGCTAGAAGAAAACAACTCTCCACGGCAACACATTCTCACACCCAAAGCGTCAAAATATGACGATTCGGGATGCCCCAGCGCGTCAGGAGACGACTATCAGGGACAAACAGCTGACACAGCGTCCCAGAGCGTTGGTATCCAATGCCGGTGGTGAGACGGACATTAGAACGACTTGTGAACTACTTAACCTTCCCCTTACCCCAGTCCTAACCTTAAGGTCACAGCTACTGACCTTAAGGTTAGGACTGGGGTGAGGGGAAGGTTAAATAGTTGAATAATATCCGTGACACCGCGACCATCAAACACTGACGCCAGCGGCGCCACATGTTCCTGCGCGTCCCTGATCGTCGTCTTCTGACGCGCTGGGGCGTCCCGAATCGTCATATTTTGACGCTTGGTCACACGCGTCATATTTTGACGATTTGGGTGTGAGAATGTGTTGTCCATGGAGAAAAGTGAAACTGGTGTCGGTGTCGCTGGTCTGCCAGACTTTCCTCATTAACCAGCAGCTGTTATGTCATCTGTCCTGCATGAACAGCCATGTTTGTATGCTACGCATCAGCACAAGACAGACGTGAACGACTTGTAGGGCGGATCGACAGCTCCTCTCTGGACCGAGACGCATCAAAAACATTTCCTTTAGCCACTCTACAGCATAAACCTAACCTCTCATCCTGGAGTTTGTAAAGGGCAAACAGCAGGTGAGCATGTGAACACATGAACACATGAACAAAAGGTGAATGCATGAAGGGGATTCAAAACCAAACACACTTTAATGTTAAAGTGCTCTCCCATCTTAAAAGCTTTAACTTTCCCTGCCTAAAGCTTGGTTTATGCTTGACGTGTTCGCACGGCTCTGCGCGGCAAAATTGCGTCATTTTAACAACCACGCCCCTCCACCGCGCCTCCACACGGCCCAAACTTTCCGCACCGCGCACCTAGGAGATTTTCTAACCACGCGGACGGTCGGACGCAGAAAAACATGGCGGACCGGCAAGATCTAGTATGGCAGAGGTTCGTAAATACAGACATTTGTATGATTCAGCTCTCAGAGATCACCGTGATCAACATGATGTTAATAATTCTTGGAGAGAAATAGCTCGCACTGTCGGAAAAGACGAGGACGCTGTTAAAAAATGTTGCAATGCGGGAGCGCTATGGAGCCGTGGACCAAGATGGCAGCATAAAGTGGCTGCTCCGTGTAACCTGCACTAAAGACTTAGAACAACCCAAAACTAGAAACTTAACTGTCATTGGAAAATGTCAAAAACGACTAATCTCAAGGACTGTGATATTTTCACCCGAAAACATGGTTCCCAAAAACCAGTTAAAACCGATACTTTGGCAACGCCTGACGACGACGAGGGAGCTGCTAGCGTTAGTAGCATGAGTGAGCTTAGCACGGTGTTAGCTGAACTTCGCTCATTGCGCTCCGAGTTCAGTGTTTTCGGAACTAAACTGGACAGCATAGATAACCGTATGGGCGAAATGACGAAGTCAGTTGCTGCTTTGGAGAAAAACATGACGGAGGTAAAGCAAAATGTTGCTGCAAACGCTACACGACTGGAGGAAGCTGAAAACAGAATAATGTCGGCGGAGGAGCTCATGGGAAAGAGCGTGGCTGATCTCAGCAAGGCCATGAAACGGATATCCTACCTGGAGGCAAAGACCGACGACCTGGAGAACCGGGGCCGAAGGAAGAACCTGCGGCTATTTGGCCTCCGGGAGGGCGCCGAGGGTCAGCTACCACTGTTGGAGTTTATAAGGAAGATGTTACCGCGCTGGCTTGAGACCGACAGATCGTTCATTATTGAGAGGGCTCACCGTACTCTAGCACCTCCAAAGCCAAACCAACACAGAGCTGTCCTCATCCGATTTCTGAACTTCCAAGATCGGGAGTTTGTTTTCCGCTTCACAAAACACAGTAACATCAAACACGATGGAAACGCACTCTTCTTTGCCGAGGATTTCTCAGCTGAGACCATCCGGCAGCGAACCGAGTTCAACGCGATCAGAAAGTTGTTCGCCGATAAAGGAATGTTCCGCGGGTTTCAATATAATCCATGCAAGATGAGGATTCTCCACGATGGGAAGATCCACCTGTTTTCATCTCCAAAGGAGGCCAGGGATTTTCACTATAGACACACTGGACAGGACTAACTGTAGCGGTGAGTGTTTCACTCCTTGAACTGCAAAACCAACTGCTCGTAGCTGATAGACGGGCTGTAAGAAATCTGTACTTTCGCTCAGTTAAATTCATCTTGACTGCAACAATGTTATCTACTTTGGTCTAATTTTTATTTTTTCAAGAGGGATTCTGTAAGTCACTAAAAGGACACGGCCGTGGATCTGATATGTTAACACATGTGGGCTTGTTATGTTTATGTCTTTGCATATGGTGTGTGCATGGTTGACGGACACCACTGTTGCTTGCGCTGGGTTGGGTGCTCATAGTTCAGCTATTCCCCCTTAGTAGTGGAATAGCACAGCCCCTAGTTTACTATTCTGAATAAGGGAGGGGGGGGGGGGGGGGGACTTGTGTTATGGGTCAATCCCAGTTTTTCTTTTTTTTTTTTTTTTTTTTTATTTATTTTTTATTTTATTTTCTCTTCTCTATTTTATTTTGTTCAAAGTTCACTTGTTATTTTCGTTTACTCGACACCAGCATCACGTGTTGTTATCTTAATATTACAGAACAAAACTTCCAAGTATGGACCAACCATATACCTGTAATCTCTCTGATATAAAAGTTACTAGTTGGAATGTCAGGGGTCTCAGGAAATTAATCAAACTGAAGCAGACTCTAAGCAGGATCAAGCAATTGAAATCAAAAATAGTTTTTCTTCAAGAAACACATTTGACAGACTGTGAATTAAAGTCTGTGAGGAACAGATGGCCTGGTCAGGTGATCCATGCATCATATAATAATTATGCGAGAGGTGTAATTATTTTGATTCATAGAAGCATACCATTCCAACTGATGAAAATAATAAAAGACCCTGCTGGTAGATATATAATCACTCAGGGTACCATCCTTTCTATTACTTTAAACTTGGTGAGTCTCTATGGCCCAAATGAAAATAAGCCCAAATTTTTTGAAGATCTGTTTCTTACTATATCTGCTTTGCAAGGACTGTATATAATTGGTGGAGACTTTAACTGTACTCTTAATCCGAGTATAGATCGCTCAACAGGCTCAGATGCATATAAAGCGCAAACCAGACGACTAATAAATCAATTTATATTAGATATCAATTTGGTAGAAGTGTGGAGGG